ACTAATAGCTAAAATGTATTAGTATGTACTGTTCTAAACACTTCACATATTTGAAATCATTTAATCCTGGCAACATTAGAAGTAGATTCTTTTACTACCCCCATTTCATCCATGAGGAAACTGATGCCAGAGAGGTTAAGAAACTTGTCAAGGTTTACGACAAGTAAATGCCAGAACCAGAATGTTTTATTTTTTATTTTTTAAATGTTTGTGGGTACATAGTAGGTCTATATATTTATGGAGTACAGGAGATGTTTTGATATACAGGACTATAATATGAAATAAGCACATCATGGAGGATGGGGTATCCATACCCGAAGCATGTATCCTTTCAGTTACAAACAATCCAATTACACTCTTTAAATTAGTTTAAAATGTACAATTAAGCTATTATTGACTATAGTCACCCCATTGTGCTGTCAAACAGTAGGTCTTATTCATTCTTTCTATTTTTTGTATCCATTAACCATTCTCAGCGCCCCTCACTCCAGCCCCCTACTACAGTTCCCAGTCTCTGGTAACCATCTGTCTACTCTCTATGTCTAGAAGTTCGATTGTTTTGATTTTTAGATTCCACAAATAAGTGAGAACATGAAATGTTTGTCTTTTGTACTTGGTTTATTTCACTTAAAGCATCCTCCGGTTCTATCTGTGTTGTTGTAAACGACTGGATCTCATTCTTTTTTATGACTGAATAGTACTCCATTGTGTATATGTACATTTTATCCATTCATCTGTTTTTGGATACTTAGTTTGCTTCCAAATTTTAGCTATTGTAAAGAGTGTTGCACAAACATAGGAGTGCAGATATCTCTGATACACTGATTTCCTTTCTTTGGGGTATATACCCAGCAGTGGGACTGCTGGATCATATGATAGCTCCATTTTCAGTTTTTTAAGGATCCTCCAAACTGTTCTCCATAGTGGCTGTACTAATTTGCATTTCCCGCAACAGTGTACAAGGGTTCCCTTTCCTCCACATCTTTGCCAGCATTTGCTGTTGCCCATATTTTGGATAAAAGCCATTTTAACTGGGGTGCAAAACTGGAATTTAAACCTATGCTACCATTGCCAAAAAAAGGGCTTAAGTCTTATGTTGTGGTAAAGATATCCCTGCCTTTTCCAGCCCACATTTATTTCTTCATTGTATACGTCATGTTATCGTCATTACTTTGTAATACAATTAACATTTTATAGTATGTTATCCTTAATTTGCTTTGTTATATATAGTTTTCTATTCTGACAGTCTCATGCTTCCTCAAATTGTCTATTCAACTCTAGTGATAGGGTAAGTAAAATACCAATAACTTAGAGTTTTAATTATTACTTCTCTCCTAGCAACTAACATATTACTAGGTGTCAAATAGCTAGTCGATGTGTATACATTAATTAACTTTGCTCTTTTAAAAGTCCTTTACTTTTATTCATAAATATAACTTTGATTTTTTTTTTGGAAATATAATAAATTCACATTTCCCTTGTATTAGAATATTGTCTTAATGGTGGCACTCCATGGTTTCTTTAGCTGTGGAAGAATGAAGGACCAATGTCATCTAAAGCAGTAAGCATGGTTTATGTGATATGATACTTGTAGCGATATTGTATTTTAAAGGTAGGCATCAATATGAAAGTGGATATAAGAGCTACTGTCTGCATGCCCGAAGAGGGCTGGGACCATGTCTATGATATCAGTGTCTAGTGTTGTGCCTCATGCAATAGTCACACAATATATTTTTGTTGTCCTTGTCAAATGAATGAATAAATAAATACTATCCCAGGAGACTGAGATAGTGGTGGTTGTAGCTTTTTAAAAAAATTCTTTTAAAGATATTTGCGTGTATGTATAGAAAAATACACACATATATATCAGGGCACTAGGTTGCAAAGAACAGAAGCCATTCTGGCTAGTTTAAACAGAAAATAAATGTTTTAAATTATAGGGACTAGCTCACAGAATGTCTGTGATGGTCAGAGGATCTGGTGTAGAGGCTGGACCACCTGAAATGTATCCCAGTGACACAACTGGGCAGCTCCTGTAATGAATCCTGCTGCCACTAGTAGGTAGACCCAGGACTGCAGCTGTCCTAGCAGATGTGGGCAGGGGGTATACCTTTAGAACTTCTGCCACTACTCCCTACAAAACCAGTTCCAGGGAGCACCACCTGCACATCACTATCTTTCAAATTAAAATGTGGTGTGAGTACATCTGAATGAAAGAGCCTGTACCCCAGGTGCAAGAGGGACTGGAAGGGTGAGTGTCTGGCTTCTACCTTAGTGAAGTGAGATTCAAAATAGGAAATTTTCTATATGCAGAAAAGCCTCTCAGAAGTTTCTGGGTTACATACATTAAGATGGGTTTTTTTAGTCTTTATAGAAATTTAGAAAAGAAAGAAAAATTAAAGGAGAAGAAAATAATCACCCATATTTTTGGGGTGGTAATGATTTTCAAAAAATGTTTATTAATGCTCAAAACTAACAAGGGTCTTGATAGTAGAACCTGAAACAAATATAGTTCCATCCAACTAATACTGTTGGATAAAGTGGAACTTACTTCATCCAATGGGTTAAACTCTGATTCTTAGAGATTTACAAAATAAAGCCAAACCAAATCAAATACAAAAACAAACTCGACATTCCTTCAGAGTAAATACAGTGGTGATAATGATGATGATGATGATACTAATTATTATTATTATTATATTTTTTTGGTTACGTATTTGGTAAAAATTATAACTTCTTATTCTCAAAACATTTTATTCACAGAAAAAAGTGTCTTAACTGTTAGGCAGGTTTGAGGCTGCTGTTAGAGATTTGCATCTAAATTTGATAAGTTTTACATACCAGGAGCTGCCACCTAAAGATTATAAAGAAATGTGATTAAGTACCAATGATAAGTATATATCATCACATCAGGGCCTTGGAAGGAATAACTCATGCATGGTTGGCTATGTTTTGACCTCTAAGTCAATCTAAGAAATCTAAAGGGTAAAGAAAAATAAACAAAAGCTTGATTCAATCAAATTGTAACAAAAGTCAAAATAGTTCAATAGTTCAACACACACAAACTTCTCTTTACAGAATAAGTTGTTAAGGATTCGTTATTCCAGAGATTAGGCCCATCATTCTGGATATTTGAGAAAATAAGTGAACTCACAAAAAAATTAGACATTACTTATATTTTATGAAAGATAATGAAAAATGTTTAAATTATCTGATTCTTAGTATGTTGAATAAAACCAGAATTTTTATCCTTATTAGAAAATCTTTACTTAAAAATTTCATTTTTATTCTTTAAAAATATTGACCATAAACATCCAAAATATTTCTCTGAACAACATCTAGGCATTTCATAATTTAATCTGTCATATTGTTTTGGTTCCTAAATAATTTAGAAATTTGTAAAGAATTTTGGATATTTGGATGGCATATCTTATAATAGCGCATTTTTTAAAAGAATGTGGATGTTGGCGGGGAGCAGTGGCTCACACCTGTAATCTCAGCACTTTGGGAGGCCGAGGTAGACAGATCACCTGAGGTCCAGAGTTCAAGACCAGCCTGGCCAAAATGGTGAAACCTCATCACTACTAAAAAGAATACAAAAATTAGCCGGGCATGGTGGTGGTCACCTGTAATCCCAGCTACTTGGGAGGCTGAGGCAGGAGAATCACTTGAACCCGGGAGGCGGAGATTGCAGTGAGCCAAGTTCATGCCATTGCACTTCAGCCTGGGCAACAGCAGCAAAACTCTGTCTCAAAAAAAAAAAAAAAAAGAATGTGGATGTTGTTATGACTTAGTTGACCAGAAAAGTTAGTTCAATTTCTAAAATGAAGAATCTAAGACTTTACCCTGTTATAGCTCCTAAATTAGAACTCAGTCTTTCATCTTTTGAGCCTGCTGCCCAGTGCCTACAGACTATTACACTTTCTAGTATATGCTTCACCTTGCTGCCAAAATTATCTTTCTAAAACCAAATTCTCAAGCTTTGACCTCAAAATATCAGTGGATTCCCCTTGCCTATAGGATAAAACTTTAACACTCTAAAAGGCTTTTAACATGTATCAATGTCAGTTTTACAGCCCCAATTCTTGACACTGCAAGATATACATAAAACATGCCAGCCCAACTGTATTAATCTGTTCTCATGCTGCTAATAAAGACATACCAGAGACTGTGTAATTTATAAAGGAAAGAAGTTTAATGGACTCATAGTTCCACATGGCTGCGGAGGCCTCACAATCATGGTGGAAGGCAAGAGAGGAGCAGAGTCACATCTTGCATAGCAGCAGACAAGAGAGCTTGTGCAGGGGAATTCATTTATAAAATCATTAGATCTCATGAGATGTATTCACTAGACTTATTCACCACAAGAAAAAATCGCCCCCAATGATTCAATTATCTCCACCTAGCCCCACCCTTGACACGTGGGGATTATTACAGTTCAAGGTGAGATTTGGGTGGGGACACAGCCAAACCATATCACCAACCAACAATTTTCCGGTCTCCAGAAGTTCTGTGTTTTTTGGTATATTCCTTTGCACGTGGTATTGCCTCTGTCGTGCTAATAATGACCATGATATTTCTGATAATGATAGTGACAACCATTAATCAAGGATTTGCTATGTAGTACAAACTACTAAGCACTTCACACAGATTATTGTCTTTTCATTTACTATTTTCCATGAACACCCCTGCTTTGCAGATGTAAAAACAGATGCTTATGGGGAATAAGTTGAATAAATGGTTAAGTGTGCTTCCTGCATAAAAAACTAAAACAGTCAATTCGGAGAGTATACTTATAACCAAAATGCAAGGAATATTATTTTAATGCATTATTAATATATATGTTCTTTAGTCTTGAGAGAATTACTTGCCTTCTGTGAGCTTTAGTGTCTGTCATTTTCCATCTTTGAAATGAAATGAAAGAATCTTGTAGATCCTTTGACTTGGACTCTCTGCTACCCACTTACTAAGTACAACTGGCAGACTACTGAGGCAAAGAGTTGACAGCAGATTTCAAATATCAAGTGTAATGTAGACACATGCAAAATAATACATCTGTTTATTTACCTTTACAAATCAAACCACTGCATTTTCAAGTGAGTAAGGATAGAGAGAGGACTGGAGTATTGCATTAGTGGATGTTTCACCACATGGAAGGAGTGAGCAAAACTACTTTTCTTAACCTCTCTGTTCTTGTGATTCAGATAGTGTTTCTTATCTAATATTTGTTAGTGGGAATCTAGCCATAAGTAAAAGAGGCTGCAGAGAAGAAAAGAAATATGTTTTTATCAATCATATGGACTTGAGAGGAATTTTCTCCGTGACCTCTTGAGAAATTCTATGAGAATGTATTATAAATTTCTTTTTTAGATGGTAACCCATATGGCAATCTGAAGCCTTGGTGTGACCATATTCAATGTGAGAAAATACCTTCTGTGAAAGAGTTATTGCTGTTAGTTCCATGAGTTACAGACACTGTGGTAGAATTATACAAGAAAAATGATAATAAAATTACTGTTGAATAAATGAATGGGAGCTAAATTTGGCAGAGCACTTACTATGTGTCAGGCTCTATTATAAGCACTTAGTAAGCATTGGTTTATTTAATCCTCATTATACTTTTACTGAAATAAATACTATTATTAACCTCATCTTACTGTTAAGGACAAGGGCACAGATAAGTTAGGCAACTTGCTGAATATCACACACTAGTTAGAACCAGAATTTTAACTAAGGCAGTGTGGCTCCGAGTTTTCGTCTTCAGTATCGAAGAAGACTAAGTGGCCTAAATTAAGCAAAGTGACCTCTTCAGACCCTCTAACTACATGGAAAAACTATTTGTCATTTTTTTTTTCCCTGAAAGACCAGAAATTAAGCAACTGTTAGCACAGAACTATCTTACTGTCTTTCTATACATTTCTTTAAGCATACAACACTGGTTGTTTTGTTGAAATTTCCTGCTGCCTTATTTTTCAGTGAATGGGATCCTTTTGGTAGGGCCTGGTTCTGCAATGTCAAATTGTGTGAGCTGAAATTCCTCAAAGAGAACAGAAATCATGTCATCATTGTCAAATACGGTGATACCAATTTGAGTCACTGGAAGTAGAATATTAAGCTAAACAATTCTGTTTTTTCTTTCTTCTCAACAACAACAAAAAGTCCCTGTATTCCAAATAGAATTTGACAGGTGATAGACTATAGTGGAAAAGAGTGAAAGAACAATCAGAATGATTATAACCCTTAAGCATACAATCTAAACTCTGCTAGCTTCTCTACCTTAACTTAGTAAAAGACACTGGGGCTTGCTTTTTATAATGAAGTAATTATTAAGTATTCATGAAGCAAACAAGTATAATATTTAAGTGGACTGCAATTCAACTTGTTTAAATGTTCCTACATGAAATACTTATCTTCATCAAAACGATAATGTTACCCCAAATGGCAAAATACTAATAGTGAATAAATGTGGAAAGCAAGTAATTTCGTCCAATATGAGGCATGAAAAATGCCACATATTCCTTGGATAAAATGAAAGAGTGATATCTCACTATTTTCTTTAATGTAACAGCTTTTTCGTTAATATAACTAAATATAATGAGGTTCAGACACCATTCACTAGTACTATTGTATAAAACTTGAATAATCTCCATCAAGAAATGTGTTCATGTTTGAATTATTTTGTGTCAGATGCACGCATTTCTTTCTATACAGCTGTATATATATCTTTAACCAACGTTGGCTGGAAGGCAAAATTCTATTTGTTTTATAAAGCTGCCTGTCTATCACATCTTATAATAATCAACATTTACTTATTAATTATCTAACATAGACCAGACATGGAATTCGGTATTCGGGATACAGGGATAAACATGAAATATGGCTTATGCCTTAATTTGGCATTTTATTTGTTGTTCTGTGATTCTGTAGAGAGAAGTATAAAAAGAAGTATAATCTTCATTATTCTTCTGTCTGAATACCCAGATAAAAAACATAATCATAGTTTTCAAACTGACTTTCACAAAGCCTATTTCTTCACAATAGCCAGAATCAATATGTGGATTTTTCACTTGATATTTTGTCTAAACAAGAATTCTGGGCTGGGTGCGTTGGCTCACGTCTGTAATTCCAGTACTTTGGGAGGCCAAGGCAGGTGCATCACGAGGTCAGAAGATCGAGACCAGCCTGGCCAACGTGGTGAAATCTTGTCTCTACTAAAAATACAAAAAAATTAGCCCGGTGCAGTGGCAGGTGCCTGTAATCCTAGCTGCTCAGGAGGCTGAGATAGGAGAATTGCTTGAACCCAGGAAGTGGAGGTTGCAGGGAGCTGAGATCACACCACTGCTCTCCAATCTGGGTGACAGAAGAAGACTCCGTCTCGGGGAAAAAAAAAAAAGGAATTCTGGAAAAATTAGATCAAACATAAAGAAATATAAATTATTCAGTGATGTCATATTTTCAATCAAGGTTTAACATAATGAGTGTACCACGCAGGATGGTAAAGATCTAGCAGTAACTGAGCGCCTAGAGCCTTCTGCTATGGCTCTTCTGCTTTCACCTATCCTTTAAAACTGCAGCAAGAAGAAAATGGGATTTCTGGTCAGTGAGAACTGGGCGTGAGTTCTGACTTCTTCACTTTCTAGATGTGAAACCATGGTTAACTCACCTTACCTCTTTGAGACCTAGCTTTCTACTATGTAAAAATCAGGTTAATTATACACCCATAATAAAGTTATACAATGTGAATAAGATAATTTATTTTGAAACACTTCACAAAAGATGTGATGTTATATTAGACAATCCATATTTTTGGTTGAATCTTAAAGCACATGATGGAAATAGATTTCACTTATTTTACTAAATACATGTGTTAGTTATCTATTGCTGTGTAACAAAAACTGCCTTAAAACTTTGGAATTCAGGAGTTGCTTAGCTGGTTGGATGTGGCTCAGGGTCTCTCAAAAAGATGTAGTTAAGATATTGGCCATGAACACATCGTTGGCCGACACATACCATCATATGGAAACTTTGAGGTCTCCCAGGAGCACTTCCTGATAATTTAGGGATCCCTTACAGGAAGGTTTCTGAGACTCTTGAAACACCCATTAAATTTTGCTGCTGTAGGATAACCATATTGCTACAAAATGCAAATCCTCTTCTTCAGCTGGTTTCTCACACCAGTAGGTTCTCTTCGTATTCCCAAGTTTTGCCCCGGTGCTCAATAAATCTGGCTCAATAGTTTCTTATAGTTCTCAAGAACCCTGACTTATGATTCAGAGAAATTTTATCTTCTGGCACAGACCAGGTTAAATGTCTTCTAAATGCAGAATATTTTCATAACCAACAGCAACTGAAAGGCCACCCAAGGCTTCTTTACTGACCTCAATGTTGTATAGAAATGCAGAAGCTGTACTCCACTTTTCAAGCCTCAAAAATGAGGTTAATATAGGATTACTGAGTGTCTTCTCCAAGGAAGGCCATATGAATGACATACAATGAATCAGGCACAAGCCCTGGACATTATGACATCCAGGCTAGTTGAGGAGACAGATTACTTCAATGTAATATGATATGTCTTTGACAGAGTGAGGAACAAATTGCTGCAGAGGAAAAAATTAGGGGCATGCAGCCCTCCTGAAAGACCTTCTGGAAGAGACAGTATTTGAGCTGAGTATTGAGATCTAGGTTATGTAGATCTTATCTAGATATCTAGGTTAAAGGATGTAGTCAGGTAAAGGAAACAACATGAGGAGGAATGAAAGAGAATGGAATGTCCAGGGATTTATAAACAGTTCAGAGTCACCAGAAGTTTATGGGATGATTCCCTGGGTAACAGACTGAGGCAGGGGTTCACCTCTGAGGCAGAGGTTTATTGAGTGGAGCTCTGGGAAAATCACCTGTGAGACAGCAAGGATTTAGGATTGAATGAGGGAAAAGTGAGACACAGTTGCAGCAGAGGCCTTGGCCAAGCTTAAGGGGCTCTCTGCAGCTGGAATGGTCCTACAGAGTCAGCATCCCAAATTGATGCAAATGATCCAGGCCTTTGTATTCTTGCCTTGACAAGTAAGTGAATTCAGGCTGTCCTAAGCCAGGGAGGGTAAACCCTGGTTGAGACTGCATGCTATGACTGAGGGATTCCCAGAAAGGAATTCATCTGAGATTTACCAGAAGCCAGTACTCCAAGCAGCTGAGAGAATGAATGCTCAGGCTTAAGGGGTGTGGGGCACAGGGTTTGCAGCTACCAAAGCATCTATTACACCAAAATATAGAGTAAAGGCAGAAAGTGGCAAGAGAGGAGGATGAAGAGAATGGCAAGATTGAAGTCCTGGCTAATCTTGGATGACATTCTAGGTATTTTTTACTTAATTGTGTAAGCCAGTGGTTCACAAACATTTCCATCTCAAAATCTCTTTACAAACTTAAAAAGTATTAAGAACCCTAAAGAGCTTTTGTTTATATGAGTCACAGCTATTATTTCATAATGCTATAATTTAAACCTGAGAAATATGCATTTTAAAGAAACATTTATTAACTTATTTTTAAAATAATAAATTATATACAAACAGAGATAAAATACTTCTCGGAAAAATAACTGTATGTCCTCCAAAACAAGAAAAGTTTAGGAAGGAGTGTTATTATTTTGCATTGTTACAAATGTCTCTAAGATATCTGCTTACTGGAAGACACCTGGATTTTCATATCTGCTTTGACTATATCTCACTTCGTGAAGCTTTAAATAAACTCCACTGAGAACCACTGCTATAGACAATACTGAGTCTCTGAAGGATTTTAATAAGCATGCACTAAAATCTGAATTGCTACTATGATTGTAGTATAGAGAACATATCTGGAGGCACAAAGTCTATTTCAGAGATGAGAGATTATGGAGGCTTGAACTAAGAGCACAGTATGGAGATGTGTGGATGTCTGAAGTATTTTTTGAGGGGAAATGAACAGAATTTGGTAACTGGATATGAGTTGTAAGAATCCAGAATGACTCATGTTTTCCCACTTGAATATTTGAATGAATAAAGATTTTCCATTATCTGAAAATGAGAACATCAAGACTAAAGGTTCATTTGAATTCAACTGATACTTTGGGATTGGATTCAACTATTGTCTTGGGTAGAGCTCCCCGGAAGCAAAGCCTAAGACAGACGTTCTGTTTATGTGATTTATTAGGGGAGTGGTCTCAAGAGAAGGAGGGTAAGGGAAAAAGAAATGGAAGGGGAGAGAAGCCAAACACCTAGTTTCAAGTGGTGACTTGCTACAGTCTGACCCCCTAGGAGCTCTGGAGCACAAGCTGTACCGCAGAGCTGGTCATACTTTGAGTTAGAGGGGCTAGACTTCTGCACCCCATGTCAGTCAAAGATTGGCCAAAGTCTGGGGAATGCAGCCTTCTGGGCCAAGCACATTCTCTTTAGTTGAGGGCAGTTATGCAGAAAAGAGTGTGACTCTGAGTTGCTTTTAGCTCTAAGGAAGAAAATAATATCTTTTTTACTTACCCACCATTAGGTTCATGACTGAGACTTCTACAACAAAATATAGATTAACAAGATAAAAGTGTGGCAGATTTATTTAATATAAGCTTAATATAAGTTTTACGTGACATGACAGCTTTCAGAAATGAAGACCCAGGGAAAACTATATGTTTATGCTTAGGTTTGATGAAGAATAGATAGTCCTGTAAAGGTATAATTTAACAAAAAGGAGGTATGACCTAGTATCAGTAAACTGGGGAGAACTTAGAAAAGACTTTCTCCAGATTCTTCTTGGCCAGTCTTTGTAAATCCTTCCCTCTGTGTATTGAGCAGGACACCTGTCACAGGAGGGTCTTTAAGAGAGAAGGTCAGAGGTAACTTTCTGTTTCCGCAGTTTTCTCAGTTTCCTCCAGCTTAAAATACGCAGTATGCTAATGTGCCCTATCTTCGGTAGGATTCTAGACACCTCATCAGAGCTAACTGGGTAGCTGTCAAATGCATACACTAGCTGATAAAGGATAATAGAGTACAATAGCATCCCTGACAACTGTGGAATCTTAATCTGGAACCATTCCTTAAACCAGAAAAATGAAACAGCATCATCAGTGTCTCAAATTGTCAAATGACTGAGAGGAAAAACCTCAACTCAGGAAAGATCACGGAAGGCTGGTCACAAACCAAGCCAGATGTTGACTTTCTTAAGACCAGCGAATAGAGACAGGAGTTTCTTTTTTACTTAGAGAAACCAGAGAGTTTCACAGTAGTGTAATAACACAAGAGGTAAGAGTTGTCTTTCAGAAATACAAAGCCAGACCCATTGCTCTCTGAAGGAGCCACATATTTCTTAGAAGATCCAACCTTGGCTACTCTTCCACTTTCCACTTAGTATCCACAGCTACCAGATATGCTACCTCACACTTGTAACCCAGATGTCATAGGTCTCAGGCTGTGTACTCAGTCTTTGCCTTGTGCCTTAAGACTGAACTTTGATGCATTCCTAAAATAAATTTAACTCCACAATGAGAAATAAAATGTTTAATCAAATTTAATGGGGAATTATTGAAGAGAGGTGCATGTACATTACACAGGAGAAGCCTATCTAGCACCTACTGGCCATCTCTGTGCTCCCCCCATTATCCATTAATGTTCTTCTCCTAGTCTCAGCTCCCCACTTCTCTCCTTTCCCCTGGGAATTCTCATCTATGCAGCCTCTGGCCACTCTGGATCCATTCTGCCTCCTGCCTCTCAGCCACACAGAATGCCCATTCTTCTGTGGCAGCATTTATCTCCCTCCAGTTTTCTCCAGTGTGAATCCCTACACACATCACTTAACTTAGTAAGCAATAAATCTTCCCTAGTCTCCATCCGCCTTGAATAAAAGAAGAAAATGGTAAGTAGCTAACTGTTGTTTCCCTTCGTATCTGAAATATCATCCAGGCACCCAGCACTTTAATCTCTCAAAGTCATCCCTGAGGGTTGTAATCAGCTTCTTCCAAACTCTGTTAATGTTGTTATTCTGACCTCCTATAAATACAAATGTTCTTAATGACATCTAGAATGGTCAATCCTTTCTACAAGGTTTTCAATTTACTTGGCTTAGATCTATCAGAGGAATCACTACCTATGGCAGCTATGATCTTACAAAATGTATCTTTTAAATGATGAAACTTGAAAGTTAAAATTATTCCTTGATCTGTTGGCTTTAGAATGCACATTGTGTTAGCAGGCATGAAAACAACATTCATATCCTTGTACATCTTCATGTGAGATCTTAGGTCACTAGGCACAATGTCAATGAGAAGTAATATATTGAAAGGAATCTTTTTTTCTGAATAGTAGGTCTCAAGAACAGGCTTAAAATATTCAGTAAACTATGCTGTAGACTGATAAGCTGTCGTCAAGGCTTTGTTATTACTTTTACAGATCACAGGAAGAATAAATTTAGCATAATTCTTAAGGACTCTTGAATTTTTAGAATGCTAAATGAGCATTAGCTTCAACTTAAAGTCACCAGCTGCATTAAAGTCAGCCTGTCCTTTGAAGGTTTGAAGCCAGGCATTAACGTCTCTTCTGCTAGGAAAGTCCTATATGTCATCTTCTTTCAATAGAAGGCTGTTTTGCTGACATTGAAAATCTGTTGTTTAGTGTATCCACCTTCATCTTAGTCAAATTGTCTGGATAACTTGCTGCAGCTTCTGTGTCAGCACTTGCTGCTTTTATGTTACAGAGATGGCATTTTCCTTAAGCCTCAAGAACCAACCTCTGCTTGCTTCCAACTTTTCTTCTGAAGCTCCCTCACCTCTCTCAGCCCTCATAGAATTGAATAGAGTGAAGGACTCGCTCTGGATTAGGTTTTGGCTTAAGGGAATGTCATGGCTGGCTGATATTCTATCTGGACCACCAAAACTTTTCCCAATATCAGCAATCAGGCTATTTTTACTTTCTTATCATTCTTGTGTTCACTGGACCCTTCAAGGGCTTTTACTTTGTGTTCACAACTTAGCTAGTTGGTTTGGTGCAAGAGGCCTAACTTTTAGATGATGTTGGCTTTCAACATGCCTTCCTTGCTAAGCATAAACAATTCTAGCTTTTGATTTAATGTGAGAGATGTTCAACTATTTCTTTCATATGAACACTTAGAAGTTGTTTAGGGTTATTAGTCGGCCTAATTTCAATGCTGTTGTGTCTTAGAGAATAGGAAGACCCAAGGAGAGGAAGGGAGACAGGGGAACAGCTGGTCAGTGGAGCAGTCAGAACACTCACAGCATTTATTGATTAAGTTTGCTTAATCTGTGCCCAATCTTATGTGGGCACAGTTCATGGTGCCCCCAAACAACTACAATAGTAATATCAAAAATCGTTTATCATAGATAACCATAATAGATACAATAATAATAAAAATTTGAGATATTGTAAGAATTACCATAATGTGACACAGAGACAAAAAGTGAGCCCATGCTATTGGAAAAATGGCACTGATAGATTTGCTCAATTCACGGTTGCTACAAACCTTCAATTTGTGAAAAAACAACATCTACAAAACAGAACAAAGTGAAGTACAGTAAAATGAGGTGTACCTGTACACACAAAATTTTCCATAAAAATTTAAAATTGTATCCATTGACCTCCTTTCAGGGGGTTAATGCACCACAGTTCTAGAACCATTTAATTAGGAGCTTTACTTGAAGATTGAGCAGACAACATATCTATCCAATTTTTAAACTGTAAAGGAAACCAGGGGCCCACCAAAATGCTCAACACTGTCTACTACATAGACTCAACTATCCAGGGGAATATTCAAAATCAGGTTATAAGTTAACCAGTGTTCCAAAAGGAAGAAGAATGGACAGTGAGGAATACTAGAGTTCATTCTACCAGAGTTATTCTTACTTTAATCTTTTTTCTTTTTTAACCAGGTGAGCACATAAGTGGGAGTAATTGTGTATCCTATTTTGATTTATGCCTCCTAGAATTGACACTCTACATTTTTCTTTCCAGAATAGTGATAACTAGCTGAGTGCATAGAAAGACCCAATCCTCTTAAACCAGATTGATTTTCATTGCCTTCATTCACTTTTCCTTCTGTGCTTTGATGTCCTACTGACTGTTCAGCCAGAATGCTAAATCACAGCTATGCATATACACACATGAGGGACTTCTAGACAAGAGGCTTTAATGACCACTGTGTGCCCAGATAATTTGGACCCATGATTAAAATCAGACATTTTAAAAGTTATTTTCAATCTGAAGCCGTGTGCTTACCTTTCACCCCTCCTCATCAACGCAGAGCCACAGTTTGCAAAGGATCCTATTTCTTTGATTTTATTTTGTGGTTTCAAAGGTAGGAAAGAATTCCACCTAGTTTGAAATTACAGCTAACTACAGGTAAAGAATGTTACTATGTGTGCCTTGGTCCATTGGAGCCAAGGATAATATAAGGAGCTAGCCCAAGACATTAAAATGTCTACACCAATTGTGGTCATTGTGTCGGGGTTCAGGACTCATTAGGAGCAATGTTTGTTGATGGATCTTTGTGTGTGGGCTTGTGTCCCAAGTGAGGGCCATCAAGCCAGTGAATGAGTTGGCACTGCCAAAAGGTTTGCACGCAGGCTCTGAATCTGAGATCATATTCTGAAACTGAGTTTTAAACTTACTAGAGCAACTGCCTCCACTTATTGTCAGTTCATGACACTTCAGAGAGGAGAAAGGCTTGGGTGGTGCTGGTGAGTAGGGAACAGAAGTAAAACATTCCCCTGTGCCTGTGAATCCATGAATCTGAAGATCCTGATGTGATGTCCCTGGTTCTGAGGAGTCTGTGGTTTGTAAAAAGCAGTTTGTGATCCATGAATTGTTCAGGAAATCATCTGAAGTAGCCACAACCAACTTTTGTAAAACTCAAAATAAATAGATTAGGAAAAAAGTGTATCATAAGTAGTCAGAGTAGAAATGTTCTATAAAACACTTATTTCAACTATGTTTATATTCATCATTGTATGTGTTTGATTGTAATGCAAAATTAATTTTTTTATTATGGGCTGATGGTCAAAAAAGTTTGAAAGCCGAAGTTTAGGTGGTCCTGCAGCCCAACGAGAAGCGTAATGCCTCTTCTCTGCATCTTATGGTCCTTTCTGGTGTAAGTAGGAGATTAAAGTCACTCATTCTGCAGTGATATTGGTTCTTTTAAAGGAAGTTACTCCTGAATTAAATAAATTCAAATGAACATCTATGCCTCTTTTTCTCCTTATTTCCCTGAAACTACTGTTGCTTAAAACCCCGTCTTCACACCAGAAGCCCAATCTGCCTGCTCCAAGAATTATCTTCCTCCCTCCCTCTTTCCTTCCCCTCTTTCCTTCCCACCTTTCTTCCTTGCTCCCTTTCACTGTTGGAAGACTGGAATGAGTATTTTCAGAGTCAGGAAGGTTTCATAGCCAAGGCAAACTGTGGTTGGAAGCTGAAATTGTAGCAAATAAGCAATTAAGGTGGATACAATGTCCCCATACACCTTCCACAAATATTCCCATCCTGGGGCAGGCCCTCATCACTTCACACCTTGGTTATTGCCATGGCTCCCAGCTTGCTCGTGACTCCAGTCCTTCCTCACACTACTCCATCCTGCCCACGTATGCCAAATTAATACTTCCAAATATATTGTTTTCATTATGTAATTTTTCTGCTCAAAATAACCTAAGGCCACTATCCCCTACGGGTCAAATTTGAACTCCACACCATGCCGTGCTGGACTCTCAATAATCTTGCTTCGA